CTCACGCTCCGCCACCCACGCGTACTTATAGCCCCGGAGCGCATCGCGCCGCCTTCCCATTGGCTGCGGAGACCCGGCGGCGCCGCTGATTGGCTGCTCCGTGCTCCAGGTGACCCCCGCGGAGAGGGCGAGCCCTGGGCCCGGCCCGGCGCGGCTCGCACCTGGACCCCTTCCCGGGAGGACGCGCGGGTCCCGCTCACCGCCGGAGGAGCGAATTAACGACGCGGGGAAAGCGCTGCAGTCGCCCGCGCCGGCCGTCAGGGCGCCTTTGCCCATCCAGGTAAGCGGGGCAGGCGCCGCCGCCTGCATTGGAATGAGACCCGAGGGCCGGGCCAGATGCACTCTGTGCGGGGCTCGCCGGGGCGTGTGGCACCGGCCCGGGGCTGGGTCCGGTGCTCCTCGGGGTTGGGGGCGAGCGGGGCGAGCGAGGTGAAGGTGAAGCTTCCCGAAGTCGAGCCCAGAACGGCGGTGGATTGTGCGAGCACCGCCGGTGTCGAGGCGAAGGCGGTCGGAACCCCCGGGATAAATAGGTCCCAGGACAGCGCCAGTGGGCTCAGAGATTCACAGGTGGCGAATCTGGGGAAAGATGAGGCTGCAAGGCTTTCCAACTACTTCTTTCTTAATTGTTTTAATCTTTTAAATAAGTTTTTATTGTGAAAATACCGCACAGAGGGGTTGCGGTTACATGAGCAGGTCAGGAGTGCATTTCTAATCCAGCATTGTTGCCTCCTCCTTTGGTTTTCCCCTACCATCCACCCCTGCCCTCCCATCTCCTCAACTACACTCCCCCCACCTCCCTCCCCCTCCCGCCGCCAAAGTTGTAAAGTTCGTTTTTTCGGCATATCATCTTGTACTTCTCATTGTTGCAATGGGTCCACCTGTATCCCTAGTTAAACATTTTTTCCTTCCCTTCCCCAAATACCGACATCAAATACAGTGAAAACAGGGGTTATACCTGGGGGAGGGACATACAAAGCAACAACAACAACAAATCACCTTATAAATATGTTAGAAACAATAGTAAGAAAGAAAAAATATTTGAGTCCTTATCTTGGAGTTCATTTCGCTTAACATCATCTTATCTGGTTATATGTACATAACTTTTGACCTTTTCTGCTTGTCTCAGACATATACTAGTTATTGCAAATGAGGGAAACCATGGGACCTATGTTTCTTTGGGCCTGGCTTACTTCACTTAATATAATTTTTTCCAAGTCTTTCCATTTCCTAACAAATGGGGCAATGTCATTCTTTCTGATGGAGGCATAGAATTCCATTGTGTATATATACCACATTTTCTTGATCCATTCATCTACTGAGGGGCATCTGGGTTGGTTCCATATCTTAGCTATGGTAAATAATGCTGCAATAAGCATAGTTGTGCTTGTAGCTTGGTCTTGTTTGTGATCATTTGGGTAAATGCCCAAAAGTGGGAATGGGTCATAGGGGAGTTCTATGTGGAGTCTTTTGAGGATCCCCATACTACTTTCCAAAGTGGTTTTTCAACTACTTCTGAGCAATGTTTGTGTCTGTCAGGTCGAATCTAACCACCTTCCATTTAACTGGAATCTTTTCAAAAGGAAATGCTGTGTGCTGGGGCAGAGAGGATATATATATATATATATATATATATATATATATGTAATTATGTATGTATATATAAATTGTTGTTCTTGTTTCTTGTTTGAGACAAGGTCTTTCTTTGTAGCCCCGGCTGGCTGCCTCAGCTCTTCCCCCAAGTGTTGGGATTACAGGCAGGCACCACAGGCCCAGCTGAGAAGAGGTTATTGAAGATACAGCCATGACCAAAGAGTAGGCCCAGGAATCCTTTCCACGTAGCTGGCTTGTTTCTCTCATCTTCTCTAGGCTTTCCTTTTCAAATTTGAGCTTGGTATAGATTTGATAAATGGATTCCTCCAGTGTCCTCTGTATAGCCGTGGGACAATATACGGAGCAGAAGATGGACATGGCTACATTGCTGTTAGCTCTATTACATACCTTATTTTTTAAATCATTCTGAAACCTCATTCATTTGTGAGTGTGTGTGTTGTGAGTGCACGTGTGTGTGAGTGTGTGTGTGTGTGTGTGTGTGTGGCTATGTAGTCAAATCACAGGTACAGTCATGTAATTATCACAGTGAAGACAAGGAATTGTTATACTACCATAAAAGGCCCCCTGGCCTTCTGCTCTGGGTCCACACACCAATTCTCTCCTGTCTGGGCCCCTGGCAACTTGTCATCTGTGCTCCATGCAGATAACGTTATGCAAATAGAGTCAGACATCCCATGGCATGTGACCTTGGAGACTGGCGTTCGTCATGGAATCCCTGGATTCCCAAGGGCCACCCAGGTTATTGCTGAAGTGAGTAGCTTCATGTTTTGCTTGGTAGGCTGTTTGAGATAGAGTCTTGAAATGTAGTCCAGGCTGACCTTGAATTTGCTGCCTCAGATTCCCCAGTGCTGGTATTACAGGTATGCACCACTGTGCTCCATCAATGTATTCTTTCTGGTTGCTGAATATTATTCCATGGTTTGGATCTACCAGAGTGGGTTCAACTCTGCCCTCACTGAAGGACTCTCCAATTGTTCACACGTTGCTCTGCTCTGATGCACGGAAGTGCCGAGCACATTCCTGCAAGGGCTATGGTTTGGGGGAGTGTCCCCCAAAGCTTCAGATATAAAGGCTTGGCTCTCCTCAGTGGTGTTAATTGGGAGATGCTCTAACCCTTGAAGCTGCTGGGTTCAGTAGGAGGTCCTTAGATCATTGGAAATATGCCCCCAAAGGGATTGTGGGGTCCTGGGATGTCTCTCTTCCTCCTCTACCTCTCCCCTGTCTGACTCTTTCCCTCTGGCAGCGGATGTGAGCATCCTGGATAAATGCCCAGATGACAACTCTGGAGTCATATGGTAAACATGAATGTAGTGGTATGAGACACAGCCCGGCTACTCCGCAGAGGAGTGGTACCATTTTGTATCTCCTTGAACAATGTGTGTCAGCGTCTCCTCAACCCCAGCAGCATTTGCCGTTGATGCCATTTTTACTTGTTAAAAGTTGGACGGTGCCATCTTACTGTGGTCTTAATTTTAATTTGCATTGAACAGATGACTAATGGGATGGAACGTTATTAAAGGTTCTTATTTGCCACCATGTATCTTCTCTGATGAAATATCAGTGTGACTTTGCCTTGGTTTGAACCGGCTTTTCTATAGTTTTGTTGCTGAATTTTGGCAGTTCGTCTTGTTCACTGAGTTTTGGCCTCCGGGACTTGCATTTGAGAGGTGGGTGCTCTATCATTTAAGCCAGGCCTCCCACTCTTTTTGCCTTCACTATATTTCCAAAGAGGGCTTCACATGTCCAGGAAGTCTGGACCATGATCCTCTTATTTCAACTTTCTATGTAGCTGGGATGCCAAACGTATGCAACCCAACTTTTTTTTTTTTAAAACTGCGATGGGTCTTGTGAACTTTTTGCCCAGATTGGCCTCCATCAGCTATTCTGCTGACTTCTGACTCATGAGTAGCCATGTGACTCACTGTGTCTGGGTCAGTAGTTATTTATGCATCGTATATGTATAAACCTTGGTTGGATCTGTGGTTTGCAAGTATTAGCCCGATTTGTAGCTGTGTTCTCTTTCCTTTAGCAGGCGCTCTCAAAGAACATGATTTTGATTAGGATAAGGTCCAGTTGGTTGAGTTTTTATTTTACAGAGTGTAATTTGGGCATGATGTTCAAGAACTTTTTGCCCAGCCCTAGAATGGAAGATGGTGCTCTATGCCCCATGCTTTCCTCTTAAACCCCGTGATCCCTTTGGAATTAATGTGCACAGTGTGAGATTTCAGTTCAGGTGGCTTCTTTTCATTCTTAGCATTTAAAACTGGGTGACATTTCAAACCACTGGGGATATTGTGCGTGATTTAATAGCCAGTGCTGCCATTTGGAAAATATAAAGTTCTATTCTTACAGCAAAATAAGCCCCACATGACTCAACAATGTAAAGTACAAACAGGCACATAGGGGAAAAAAACAACCATGACCACATTTGTCATTAAAGAAATGCAAATCAATGCCACATTGAGATACTGCTTGCTACCTATTGGACTGACAAACTTGAGGGGGAAAAATGCATGTTACTGGACTGTGGAGGAAATGAGGAGGAGTGGCTATGAGAAAACCAATTCTGAGTATTTGGCTGGCAGTTTGACAGCCAATGGAAAGCGGACATATCCTGTGACACAGCTCTTCCATGCTTACAAGATTTGCCCTGGAAACTCAGTATATAATGTACTCACTCAGAATCCATCTTCAGTGGGTTCAGACCAGCCCAAGTTAACAAAATATGTTATCGAATGAATTGATAGTGTATAAAAGTAGCTACAAGGGGCTGGGAAGGTGGCTCAGTGGTAGAGCACTTGCCTTGCATGCATGAGGCCCTGGATTCGATTCCTCAGCACCACATAAGTAGAAAGAAAAAGCCAGAAGTGGCTGTGTGGCTCAAGTGGTAGAGTGCTAGCCTTGAGCTGAAGAGCTGAGCGACAGCACCCAGGCCCAGAGTTCAGGCCCCATGACTGGACCCCCCAAAAATGTAGCTACAAGTTGCCCATATATGTTTTATACACAAGGATGACAGACAGACAGATACACATTCACACATACACATTTCTTTTTCAATGGGGATCAGTTCCCTCTGCTCAGTGAGATGAAAAAGGCTGGGAAGAAAAGGAATAGTGTACATTTCTTCATGGCCACTTAGAGTAAATAAAAAAATTACAGCTGGATATTCATGACTCACACCTGTAATCCTAGCTATTCAGGGAAGCTGAGGTCCAAGGATCACAGTTCAAAGCCAGCCAAGCAAGAAAGTCCGTGAGACTCTTATCTCCAATTAATCAACAGAAAACTGGAGGTGGAGCTGTAGCTCAAGTGGTAGCCTAGCCTTAGCAAACGTAGCTCAGGGACAGAGCCTAAGCCCAGAATTTAAGCCTCAGAACCAACCAAAAATAAACATAAAAATAAATTAAAAAGTATGAGCCAGGGCCTGGATTGTGTTTTCATGAATAGGATGGGTGAGACAAGATAAGCAGTTGGGCAGACTTAGGCTTGGATGGTTTGGATCTCATTGGCAGGCTGGGTTCTGGGGATGATCCCAGGTTTACAGCGTGAGTGGGGCAGGTGAGCATTGGCTTAGGGTGTGGGATCGTGAACTTGGGATTGGTTGGGCAGCTAGAGCTAGAAATTCGCTAACCCTGAGGGGAGATGTCCTCCCCAGCACTGCCAGG